TTTTTCAGTGCTTGTGAAAAAAATTGTTATACAAATTTTATGTACCCCCCTTTAAGGGGCTGTATCTTAATAAGGGATGCTCCAATGAAGTTTCTTTGAATGAAAGATCCTATTTTTTTTTCGACGAGGAATCTCCTTAAATGTTTTACACTTATTCAGTTACACCCTGTATACACTGGTAAGTATGTTCTTTTGTCTGATTCGGATACTCTTTGACAACAAGGTAAATCATTGAAACCCTAATTTTAATTAAATTCACCTAACAGTCGGTTCTTGTAATTTGAGAATTGACGCGTAATCATTAATTATATCCCCGAAAAGGTACAACGTTGCTAAATTATTTTGGCGCTTGGGAAAGTTACGTTTATTGTTCTGTGGTGCATACCGCAAACATTTAAGCTTGGCTTGAGTTTTAAGCGGGCTACGCAAGCTTCGCTTTACAGAGAAAACGGCGAATACGGGCATTATGGAGGGAAGAGGTAAGGAGAACCGTCTCATATGGGAGGAAGTTTGAAAAAGTGTCTAATTATCAGCATTAAATAACAGTTCAAAAACACTCAAAAATGGCGTTAGCATAGGCACAGGGTATGATATGAAATGAATTAAGCAGTTGTTAACCAAAGTGTACACCAGTGTACTCTATGTTGTTAACTGATTGAAGTATGCTAAAGTCACGAAATTTAATATATTCAATGAATATGTGCCATTAGGAGACGAGAGTTCTTGCGTCCTTTTTTATTTCTCTATCCTTTTTTGATAACTTTTAGCGCCTTTTTTAAAATTTACCGTGTTGCCATTGTAGTGCCACCCTTATTCAGCACATTTTAACCTCTGAGATTTCAACGGGTACTTTTTCACACACAGGGACAGTTTTCCTTACTTCTACCCTCCATAGACCAGATGCAGTTGTTCAAAAGTTACCGGAAGATAGCACCCTTAATCAATAGTTACATTTACTTTAGTCGCTAACTAGTGTATGTACTTCTCTGAAGTAAATAAGTGAGGTTATTGCAAAAAATATCGTGAAATTTGTGTTTTGAGTTTTTACTTGTAAACTGAGAGGCTTATTTCAAATTTAAAAACTGATTGATAATGAGTTTTTGGATTTATTTGCGGCATGTAGTCGCCTGTATTATTTTCGTAAAATATACCCAAGTCCTATCAATGCTTCAATATTAAAAAAAATTATATGATGAATAAGTTTTTGTTCCATGATTGAGATAGGCGAGTTCTTAAATTCAATAAAAAATTCTGATAGATTGCTTCAACCAATAAAAAACTCTAACGTTTTAAATGGACCAATAGATGAATCTATAGAAACAATTGATTTTGTGGACTCATTTGAGAAATCGTCACCTTTGTGTGTATCATAACTTTCAACTTACCATTTCAACGTTTGTTTTTTCTTCAACTTCATATAAGAAGTACTGTCCAAAATCAACATTACTGAATGTTGATTTTGGACTTTTCAGTATGTTTGTGAAAACTATTTTTTTGGATGGTATAGGTAGTTTGAGCCCTTGGCAACGTAGCGTCTTTGCTTTCTGGTCAATCTAAGTTCAATGGCGAATTCGCGAACTACACTTACGTCATACGTCATTCATAAGTTCTTCTTGCCGTGAGTGAGAAAGAGAGACTGCAGTAACAGAGGAGAACGTCACAAATTGCGCGTAGCTCATAACATAGGTTTTACAAAACAACAATCTCTGACAACAGTAAAGTAAACGTCGTTCCGGTGTGGCGATTATCTGCTAATCTTTAAATTTTATAATCATTCAAAATGGATGCTCTACGCGAACAAGTTATGATTAATCAATTCGTTCTAGCAGCTGGTTGTGCTCGTGAACAAGCCAAACAAATCCTTCAATCCACTCACTGGCAATTCGAGGTAAATATTTTGATTTTGTAAACAAACACTTCCAGACCAGAAGAAAGATGGCGGATGTTATGTGTATTATAAACACCCTCCCCTACCCCACCGTTTCCTTTGTCGTTCGCATGTATTGACTGAAATTGCCTTTCAAGGTCGGGTTGTGCCACTGTGTAAACATTGTACATTGTTTTGACTTTAGGTCATTGATTTTTTAGGCAATGCCCTTTGGTTATCAGATTCAGTGAGATTGTCACTATTTTCATTTAGAAATAGTACTACACCAGTAAAAATGAATGAAATCAGCTGTTAGGATATCAATGTTGATTTACTGCCAGATTAATGAAATGTTTTTTTATATCATAGGATAAGCTTCAACGAAAATACACGGTAGAGGGAAGGGGGGAAAATATGTGAATTCCACACGAAAAATTTTCAAACACAATCGAGTGAAAATAAAAACATGCCAGATATTCAGTCAATAACAGTAGCGGCATTAGTAACAAAATGTAGATATTAATATTTCTTACAAATTGAATTTTTCAACTTATCACAAAAGTTAATTTTTATCAATTTATCCACTGCGCACTAGTTGTATAAAACATCTTTATTGTTACTGGCGCATTTTTTTCATCTGATCTCTTGGATGTTTACATTTGTTTTTGTCAAATTTCAGGCTAATTTTGTATACTGTTCCTAAATTTTCTGCTTTTCATTCAAGACTAGAGAAAAAAAATGTATTCTAATAGGAAACTGGTGCAAGCTAAGGATAAACAACGAGGTCTTTCATTTTAATGTGAGATTCCTAGTGCGAGTCGATGAACATTAAACGTCCCACGGTTGGGATCCAACCAACATTCATAGCAGCGATTGATTCAATGAGTAGAACTAAATGTGTGATCAGAATAGATGAACTTTTCAGGGTGTATCAACAAAGCATGGATGGATGATAAATTTGTTGGGTGTGTGTACCCCTGCCCTGAAGATGACGACCACTTGTGTCGACGAAACGTTGTAATGATCGTTCGAGATAAAAGACAACTGCAGTTCAGTGTTGCCAGCTTATATTTTAGAAATTCTTTAGACAATTTGATCATAAATCTGTAAATTTCTTCAAATCCAAAAATGTTCAACTTCGTTAACTCAAGTTTATCTTATTTCTTTTCAGAATTTGGTCACTTGAGTAGTAATCTTCTAATGAATATCATAATTGCAGTATTTTCATATTATATACAAGTGTTCATAGAATTTGTTTAAACGAGCTTCATTTGATGTTCATTTTTGAATCTATAAAAAAAAGAATTCGTTTTTTGATTTCTACAATGTACATTTGAGTATGTACAGTTCACCCCTAACTTCATCCTTAACTGGATGGGAGCAATTCTTTATAAAAATTTAAATAACATGGGGTGGTGAGTGATAGCTCATTCGATAGGGGGTTTTATTCTCTATTCAACCGTGCCAAGGAATTTAAATTAATTCAAGAGTTATTATTGTTCAAGAATAACGACAATTAACGTAGCGCAATACCGCGTAGAATTGAAAATTCGGCCCTGTATATCGGTTTTGGTTCAGACGTCAAGTGAGATAGATGCATTTGTCATTTGCGTAGATATCAACTGCACGTTTTTGTAGGTGTTTTTGGATGTTTGAGGATAAATGGTCAATACAAGAACCTGATATCACGGATAGTGCGAGTCAGTGTATTCTAGGTGTTGGTTGTGCTTGCTATTCATCTTCAAACACCACGTGCGTTAAATGAGATATGCGAAGCGATTGTTATTTTTGGTGAGGCTCATCGCAATTATCATGAGGCTGTATGAATGTTCAATAAACGTTTTCCAGGTCGCCCTATAGACAGACATTATTTCAAACAGCTGGTGAAAAAATATTATGAGAACGGCAGTGTGCAAAGTGAAACACGTTCTGTTAGATCAACTACAGGGGAAGATAAACAAGTGGACATTAAGAGCGAGTTTGTGAATAATCCGTCCTTATCGATTAGAATTGGTGCCTTGAATTGTGAGGTTTCGCAGATTACGGTATTGAGAGTTCTAAAAAAATAAATTTCATCCCTACAAAATAAAAATGGTGCATGAACTGACGAACGATGAATCAGACCGCCATCTAGAATATTGTGAAATTGTCTCTAACAATATTTTGCAAAATCCCAGCTATTAAACACATTTGTTTCAGTGATGAGGCTACTTTTTTTAAAGGGTCACGTGCATAGAAAAAATTTGAGGTACTGGTCCGATGAAAATTCTCGACTTTTTAGCGAAACTCATACCCAGTTTTTCCAAAAAGTGAAGGTTTGAGCAGGAATACTGGTTAACCGCATTATAGTTCCGTTATTGATTGAGGAAAATCTGACTGGAGCCCTCTGTTTGGAAATGCTGGAAACAGTGATAGATTCACTGATTGTGGCAACTGTCGAAAATAATTTAAACGAATTTGGACATTATTCTGCAACGAAATGGAGCTTCTCCTCATTTTGCAATTGCTGTGAAGACTTATTTGAATACCGTTTATGCAGGACGATGGATCGCGCGCAAATGTTCTGAGGAATAGTCTTTCAGATCACCAGATCTAATTTCTTTAGATTTCTTCCTATGGGGTTACCTAAAATCTAAAGTCTACGAGAGTCAGTGTCACTCATTTCAGGAGTTACGTGCGCGGATTACGGAAGTGTGTGCAACAATTACTCGCGATACTTTGCAAACAGTCAGGACTGAAACTAAAAATATACTCTATTTGTGCCAAGAGGTCAACGGGGAACATTTTGATCATTTACTGTAATAATAGAAAAAGTCAGTGTTAGTTTAGTTGTCTTCCTATTCGTCGTGTAATTCGTTGATTGGTTGAATATAAAATAAAACCCTCTTTCAAATGAGCTACCACTCACACCCCATGCTATTTAATTTTTCGACAGGGTTGCTCCCCTCCAGTAAGAGATGAAATTAGGGGTGAACTACTCACACGAAAATATACACTGTAGAAATGAAAAATCGACGTGCGATTTTCCTAACGCCAGTCCAGTAACGAGTTATAGGTAGGGGTTAGCTTAGGTTAGGTCCAAAGTGAGTGGGTCTGTTCGCCCCTCCGCCGCATTCCGCAAGGGTTTATTGTGGCTCACACCTATTCACACTCGACCAAATAAACCCAGCTTCCCGACGAAGCCAATTAGTTTGTATGGCGAGTGGTCTTTCAGGTCAATTGGTAAGAGTACGGTTCTGCCAAACTCTAAAAACTTGATTTGGTCTCCAGCAGGACATGTACAAAGTATATGCTCTGCTGTTTCATCAATTCCCAAACAGAGGCAACACACACTGTCTTCCGACAGTCCGAGTCTCTGCATATGATGAATCAAATGATAGTGACCTGTTAGATGGCCTGTTGGATATCATAGTTCATCCCTACTGTAGCCCAACAACTGTTTGGTATCAAGCTTCGAAGGGTGAATAAACGCCTTGGAGTGAGCCAATCCTGGAAGATTCTGTCAGGAGTCCATAAATCGTCTTGCCATCCAGGTGTTCAATTTTTGTTCGGCAAAGCCTAAAGTAATGCCAATGACAGGTTCTGGTCCGATGAAGCTGCTTGCAGCAACCTCTTTTGCAAGGGAGTCAGCAGCCTCATTGTCTTCCAAGCCAGTAAGGCCAGGAATCCAGACCAGAGACAATCTGTTGAGTCTTCCTATCGAGGAGAGTCATATTTGGCAATTTGCTACCAATTTAGATGTTGCTCAGTGGGAGCCAAGAGCTTCCAACGCCGCTTGATTGTCCGAGAATATTTTTATTGACTTGTGTATGAGTGAGGTTGTATTCTTCCAATCTCTCCGCACTCAGTGATGTTACGTGCAGTACAATTGTACTGAATCTAGTACAATCGAACTAAATGCAGTACGGCAGTACCTCTTTCGCCATTTTAGTACAATTTTGCTTTCTTTTTCTAAAAAATAAAATTTTTATTCGACATTTGACAGACAGACAGACAATAGTCTCGAGTTATGAATTAATATGCAGATGATGTATCGCAGTCCAGCATACGTATTTTATATCGCTGTATTTCATTCTGTCGATACTTTGTCAAACGCACGATCTCGACAACAGACCCCATGGGCCATGACCCATGAACATAATAAAATGATGTTTTGTTGACACTGTCAACAGTATCAAGTGTCAGCTTAACAGCGTTGAGGGTTTTTGTCTTTCATTCACTTTTGCCTGCCATAATTTGTGCAATATCTCCATTTTATTTTTTGATTATGCACTGGTTCTGGATGCCTTATTTTCAGATCATGTGAAAAATAAATTATGCAAGAAAAAGGACGATTTGAAAAAAGTGTTATGTACATGTTTTGATATGAAAATTCCACCCACCCCTGTATTATGATTCATATATTCATAATATGATCATAAATTCACAGAACACTTATATTATTATGATGTTCCATGATATTACATAGTGCAGTACAATTAAACGTAATTTAGTACAATTTTCATTTTTGTATTGGCACAATTTTTCGTTCCCGAAAAACATCACTGCCGCACACAATTCAATAGCGTAAATTTCCGCTTGAAATACAGTCGCATAGATTCCTAGGCAGGTTTATAGATAGGGGTGGTAACACTTATGATGCGTACTGTATAGGTAGGTTGAAAACGATGGAACTTTTTTTTTCACAAACTACACCTAAGCGGTTTGATCTCCACAAACTTTATTGAAAAAATATATCACAACATGTATCGCTAAACATTAGCTTTTTCATGTGATTAATATTTATATACTACAGGTAACCACAATTGAGACTACCTGTAAGAAATTACCTGAACCTCTACATCTCGTACCTCTTCAATTATGATTACCTAAAGCATATGGCCTTACATCTACGTCAATAATAATTCTCATTCACCATTTTTTTAGTAAATATATGTAGAAACACAAATAAATACGTGATCTTTCCAATATTAGGCAGGGCTCTACTTGCCCACGATACTTTTTTTCTATATCCAATCAGGGAGGCAAAAGTTTTTATTGACTATGAAGCAGGCATTCAGACAATGAATATTGTTTTGACAATGATTATCATTTTTCAGACAGCCCTAAGTATATTCTTTCAAGAAGCAGCTCTACCAGTGTGTCCATCAGGTGCTTCGGCCCATTTTGGACAGGTTTGTATTATTTGATATTTATTTTGTATTGCAACAAGTTAATGCTTATTAAGGAAGGATAAAATGTCTTGTTAATGTCTACAGTCCAGATAACGAATTCTCATAGTTGGGTTGTAGTGAGAAAGATAGAAGGTATAGGTGTAGGTAGAAAGATTAAATTTATTTATTTGTATCCAAACAGACCGAAGGTCTAATTACATGGATAATGAATATAAAATAATTTTCACATTTCAATAATTATAATCATGAAAATCAGTTGTGTACCTACTTAAAGACTTTGAAGGTGGATATCGGATACAAGTAGATTCTTGTATAATCAGCTTCTTATTATTGCAAGTATATCTGTTATGTCATCTATGTTGTGCCAAAATATAGGGTTTTATCTGTAAACAACGTGAACTACCCAGATGTATATTTGAAATATCTTTGATGTATAAAAAAATATAGGTCCTAATACCGAACCTTTAGGCACACCGCTTTTAGTAGTTCCATTCGTAAATAGTGGTCAATGTTTACAAACTGACTATGATTCTCCAATTACAACCTAAACCTCCACAAAATAATTCAAGTTTGTCTAGCAGATTTCGGCCTTAATTAGACCGAAAAACGCTACCTCGTCCGACTTGCTCGACTCACTCAACTTTCATTATTTTAGTGAAAATGGCTGAAAAACATAGACCTAACATAACGCATTTGTGATACATCAGACAGCGCTGCTTTAACTCGCTATCAGTGGTGCTAGGTTAAACCACAACTGAACTCAATTGTCATTAAAGAACAAGCCTGAGTAAACAAGGGCGACGACATCTTCCCTTACGAAGAAGTCATCTTAGACGCCATCTATGGGATAGACAGAGAACTCAATCCTAGAATATAGAAGATAAACGAGGCTCTCGAAGGCGGTCAGTTGCAAAGTCAAGCTTCTACATCGGCCGCCGACGAAATTCGCCCTTTCACTGCTTTCACTGCATGGTAAATTGTTGAGAAACGGAGCGGAACACAACGCATTTGAAATCCAACATCTCAAATGTCCTCAAATGACAAAGATTGAGTTTCTCAATGACTTTTTTTGGACCAGCTCTCGATAATTTTGTCAAGGGTGTAGGCATTGTAGATATAGGCGAAAATTATGAGGTGAATTTATTGTTTCCACCTTCATGAATTGGGATCATATAGGAAGATTTGAGGTATTTTCAAAAACGATTCGTATTTACGTAATTAATAATAAGATTCGCCAGAATGGAGTGATTCAATTTGTGTCAGATGTCAAATTGTCAAAGTCAATAATAAAAACTAACTTTTCAATTTTATCTAACCTCACTTAGAATCGGATTTGTGCAAGTAATAATTTTGCAGCTTTATCCTTACAACATATTTGATAAAAAAAATTCAGCACTTTATAAACTATAACGATCAAAAGCAGAAACTGACAACTGACGTAACAAAACGTCGAATTCTGTTTCAAAACCAACCTCACGCTAGTTTTGAATCATCGTGAATACGTTTCAAATCATAGTTGATGTGATGTCAACGCCAGAATGAATGTATTTGAATCACAGACGAATACGTTTTGAATACATGAGCGCCAGAAAACGCCTTTGAATTCACTGATCCGTTATTTGGTGAAATCAATAACACTAGTCATCGTAATAATTACAAATTGTCAGAATATTATTCAATAAACACACAGACATTCATTGGATATCCAAAACGTACATCAAGGATATCCATTAGACGTCCATTGATGGACGAAGGATGTCTAATGGACAACCCATGGATATCCATAGGTCACCAAAATATGCACATCCATTATTTATCAAAAGTGGACATATTTTGGACATACATATAATGCATCATAAACGGACGATAAATGGACCACAAGAATTGTAATGGACACAAAATGAATCTATCGAAAACACTTTCCCAACGCCAGTCATAATGATCTCCTGAGGACGCTAACTTTATTAGCGAAACGCGCATCGAGAGACCGTAATTTTTGTTCTGGTGTTGGGAAAGTGTTTTCAATAGATATTTTAATTTCCTAATAAATTAATCAGGTGTGGGTACTATATTCATTGATGATTTTTCGAGAGAATAACAAATAAGAGTACTTTTCACGTAATTCATGCATTTTATTTTCTGGACGGAATGGGTGAATTTGATTTCATTAATATAAAATCTGTTATGAACATTCAGAAAATATTGAAGTGCAGTCAATGTTTCAAATTGATTATTGAAACTTCACTTTCCGATTTTATTGAATCAAAAATCAAATAATAGATTCACCTCAATAAATGAAAAAAAAACTATGGTTATCGAGGGAAACTCTTCTTCTCTTTTTTTCTCTTCTCCTTATATTTTGTTAGATGGCCTTGCCGTTTTAACGGTACCTCTTATGGATATCCGTTTGAAGTCCGTATCATCTTCATAGAATGATGTCCATATGTTGAACGGCATATTATGTATGTTTTTTTCATGTCCATTTTCACGTTGTCATATAATGGACATCGTTTCTATGTCCATAGGTATCAATAATGGACCTTATTTGAATATCCAATTGATGTCCTGTGTTTACTGGTAGACTTTATTTCAGTACGCATTTCACTACATGGTAGCTCCCTCAGTCGAACTAGCCCAACTGTTGTACTAGTCCAACTGAGGAAACTACCATCTAGTCTAGTGAAATGGGTATAGGAAATAAAGTCAATGCCTTAAAAAATTGTAGTTAATATCATGAATAATATTGGAAGTTTTTGAACATGCTGTAAAAGACCTAGATTGAAAGATTGGTTAACATAAAGTTTAGTGACGTATTGTGTTTTTAATTGTAGTTTCATCTTTAGTAATAGTTTTCTCATATTTTGACTGTACTTATGTTTTCATAAAAGGGAAATTAAGATTATTACTATAATATGTTGTGTTACAGATCATGACACCGTGTAACACACCAGCAACTCCTCCAAACTTTCCTGATGCACTTATCGCCTTCTCCAAGATGTCTACAGGAAATGCAACCAGCCCGTCCATAAATATTGGCATATCGTCTCAGCAGTCTCGTTGTTCTCCACAGCCTATGACGCAGCAACGATAAGTGTGCGCAATCTAAATCCGCAGTATATATGCTCAGTGTAAAAAAACTTTTATGTAAATTGGAGACTAAAATATTGCTAGTGAAATTTGTTGAGATATATTTTTAGTTGTTTTGTTGGAGTATGAACATTGTATTTGTTTACGAATGCACCCCGAATCAAATTTGGGGTCATCGATTGGTTTTGCTTTAATTATTGTTGATTGAATTGGTATATTTTACTAGAATTGGGGTATTCTAGATTGGCATTAACAAGTGAAAATTCCGATCCAAAATGTAGTTGTAATTTTTTTATAGAATAAGAACACTTCTATTCTATGACCACTTTTGATCACTAATTTTGAACTTATTTTAGCTGATTAACGAAAAAACTGATTTTTTTGAACAGAAGTCATCTAATGGATGTTATTGTTTATAGAAATCATAACGAAAATTTTGTGTAACAAAAACTTCAGTAGCAATTTCACAATTTTTTTTATAAACAATTCCAGTAACAAAGTAAGCAGTGAAGCTAAAGGTGGAAATATGCCGATACTGTTTTTTAAAATTAACTTGTAATGTGGTGTTCAAATTTGAATCTTGTTTCTTCATCACTGTTCAATAATACTCATTTTTCTCCTGTTCAATGTGAAAGTGCCATTGTATTCTATAAATGACATTGCTATCAAAAGTATAAGCAAATATTTTGCCAGTACAAAAACCCTTGAACATATCTGAATCATTATTAATTGTTGAGAAGAGATACATACATACTAGAAAATAAATATTTTGAAATAAAATTTCGAAATATTCATATCTCACTATTACCTACAACGTAGGTTCTGGTTAATGGCTGCCGGAAAACAAATACTTCCCCGGCTATTATCACGCTGGGTATTGAATTATATCTGTCAGAAATTTAATCAAGATACCTCACAGAGGTGGTATTAGCCGGGAAATTAGTTGTTTTCAAGCAGGTGATTACCAGAACCTACGGTGTAGGAGTGTAGGTAGTTGAGAGACATGAATATTTGAAGATTTTATTTCGAAATGTTAATTTTCTTGTACATTATAAAATTCTTGATTGGATATTTAAAAATTTGACGTTTCTGTTTTGGTTAATTTAACAATGAATTTTATTTCTTTATTCTGTGAAATTTGGTAGTTGCAATTATGAGTCTTATCAAGTCAGTTTCTTCAATTATGATACATCAATCTGGAAAATCTGTGGGCCGCATTCAATAACCGTGAAAAGACTGAAAATTGAATAGGTACTAGACAGTGAATGTGTGCACCCACAATACAAGATATTTATGAAACAAAGATTTGAAAATGTACTCGCCATCTAGAAAATTTCTCGGAAGTGATAACTTATTTTGAAAGGAATTTTCAAACAAATTTTCAAAATAGTTTGTCTGTTGAGTGGCATACGAAATAAAGAACTGATGAGATATATAAGGAATCAGTACAATTATATGAGCAGCTCTGTGCAAAACGAATATTCCTGTTTTTAATTTATAGATTCATGAATATATTGTGAAATGATGTTTTTATTTCAACTGAGGGTTTTGTGCTGAGCTGATCAAATGACATTTTTACTCTTTTATATTTTGTAAACAGACACAAGAGACAATATACAATGTACGTTGGTGCAGAAAACCCAAAATTGTAGTGTCCTATGATGCTTCATTTAGTTGTACCCTGAAAAAGTTAATAAATAATGTCCAACTGAAATTTTGATGCTTTCAATTTTAACTCCATTCTTTATAGTACTAATGTTAGTTTCAAAATTCAAAATTCTCAAAAATCTCCAATTTAAATTTAGGATAGGTTAGGTCAAAGGTGAGTGGGCCTATTCGACTCTCCACTGCAACCCGCAAAGGTTTATTGTGGCTCACACCTATTCATACTCGACCAAATAAACCCAGCTTCTTGACGAAGCCGATTAGTTCATACGGTGAGTGACCTTTCAGGTCACATGTGGTTCTACCAAACTCTGAAAACCTGATTCGGTCCCCGGCGGGGCAGGCACAAAGTATATGCTCTGCTGTTTCATCATTTTCCAAACAGAGACGACACACACTGTCTTCCGACAGTCCGAGTCTCTGCATATTATAATTCAGACGACAGTGACCTGTAAGGAGGCCTGTTAGACATCGTAGTTTATCCCTACTGTAGTACGACAACTGTTTGGTTTCAAGCTTCAATTTAAATTTTGTCCGTTTTTATGAGTCTACTCTAATCGAAATAAGCGCCATTTTTAATCAGTACACTTTTGGCAACGTAAAACAAGTCGATCAATTTCGTCAGCATAAAAGTTGACGAAGGCCGTTTTTGCCTGGTTCTGATTGGCAAAAGTTCTACCAGTAATCGGCCCTCTACTGTTGAGTAGTGCCGGCTGCTGATGACACAATTTTTGGTATATTTCGTCAATTTCTTGACAATTCGACCCTGCTGTGATGGTTTGGTACGGTTGCAGAAAGTTATAGTATATCACATCAGAGCCTTTGTGAAGTGCTTGGGTGGCTTTTTCGGTGTTCAATCACTGTACTAAACTCTCCTGTTGTCATAGAGGATCCACTTTTCGTCACACGTGACGATTTAATTGCTTGGGCAAAAGCAAAGAACAGACCTCGAAACGTGACAATTTCTATCGATAGTTCAAATCGTGTGGCATCTGTGGTTTACTCACTTTTCGGAAGAAGGGAATATTAAGAGCAGATGGTTCACAGATGGATCAAAAACACCTTCCGGTTCTGGTGCAGGTGTTTTCAGTTGCAGATCCAGGACAGATATATCAACCTGCCTAGGAACCTATGCGACTGTATTTCAAGCGGAAATTTACGCTATTGACTTGTTTAAAAAAAATCTGTTTTCTTTCGAGAAAAATATCTGGTCGAGGCGGGAATCGAACACACGACCTTCCGATCGTGAGTCGGACGCAATACCACCGAAGAGATTGGAAGAATGCAACCTCATACACAAGTCAATAAAAATATTCTCGGAAGCTCTTGGCTCCTACCGAGCAACGTCTAAATTGGTAGCAAATTGCCAAAAAACGACTCTCCTCGATAGGAAGCCTTAACAAATTTTCTCTGGTATGGATTCCTGTCTATACTGGTCTGGAAGGCAATGAGGCTGCTGACTCACTTGCAAAAGAGGGTGCTGCAAGCAGCTTCATCGGACCAGAACATGTCATTGGCATCATTTCAAGATTTGCTTAACAAAGATCGAACACCTGGATGGCAATAACATTTATGGACTTCTGGCAGAGTATTCCAGGATTGGCTCACTCCAAGGCTTTCAAGCTTGATACCAAACATTTGTTGGACTACAATAGGGATGAACTGCGATGTCTAACAGGCCTTCTCACAGGTCACTGTCATTTGAATCATCATATGCAGAGACTCGGACTGTCGGAAGACAGTGTGTGTGTCGCCTCTTTGGAAAATGATGAAACAACAGAGCACATACTTTGTGCCTGTCCCGCTGGGAACCGAATCAGGTTTTTAGAGTTCGGCAAAGCCGTACTCTTACCATCTGCCCTGAAAGACCACTCACCATACAAATTAAAAGGCTTCGTTAAAAAACTGGGTGTTTTTGGTCGAGTGTGAATATTAGGGATGAGGGGGATATCGTAAGTGTTTACCTCGGGGTAATGTACACTGAACCACTAAGTGAACAAGAAGAAAAATTGTGAGAAACAACAAGAGTCTACAACTGCTCTGTATTATATAATATAGATATGTATCCAAAATTAAATTTGAAATAACTAACTGATAACCATTTTGTTTGTCTGGTATGATCATAAATATTGAAGCATCTGAAGCCGCCCCTGACCGATATGTTGGCCAGCGAACAAACACATGACATCACCGCAAAAGGAATGCAGTCGACAACCGCCGATTAAACTCTAGTTGAGTACCGAAACCACTATATAATTCTAGAACAATCGTTACCGATATATAAGGCCGGCTTCTCGTCACAAGAGAGCAGTTGAGTTCAGAAAGTGAATCGAGCGGTTAACCAAGGAATTCAAATAGCGGAAAAAAATAAGCGTTAGTTGCCAAGTGTTGAATATACATTAGTTTGTAATAGTGAAATATTGTTAGACAGACAACAGACAGACAGTAAATTCTTTAATTTGTCACAATTGGTGATCAGAAGTGAATTTGTAGGATAAATCTGTGAGGGCTTGGTGGACAATCTTTGTATTGCGGTGAAATTGACTAAGTAAAAGATTTATTTGTTAGTGCAGAGAGACTGGTGATTTGTTGTGTTTAGTGAAGTGTACAGTACCGGACTACGAGAAAAATAAACCGATAGACCTTTCTCGCGAAAAATAGACATGTGAAAATAAATAAGTGTTTAGGACTCGATTAAAATGAGTGGACATATACAATTTTGTGGAAAATAGACAATAAGAGACAAAATTTGTTCGAGGAAAGTGCGCCTAACGGACTTGAAAGTCGCCGAATTGAAGCAAGAATTGGAGGAGAGGGAGCTAGATTGTTTTGGAAAGAAATCAGTACTCCAGAAGAGACTTAAGGATAACTTGACTGAATCAGGAGAAGATCCCGAAACATATTTATTCGAAGTTTCTGGGGGTGATTTGAGTTCAGTAATGAGCAAACTCGATGAACTTCAACAAAATTCGGTAAGCCTTGAAGAGAAGCTTCTGGAAAATTCGAAAAGTTTGGAAGATGAATTTCTAGAGAATTAGAAAAGTTTGGAAAATAAATTTCTAGAGAATTCGAATAACTTAAAGAAAGAACTTTGTGGTGTGGCGAATCTACTCGATGAAAGGATAGGAACCATCGAGACAGAGATAGACAAAATCAGGAAAGAAATGAACACGGAAGTAGAGGAAATCAAAGGCGGAGTTCAGACAGAAATCAGCAAGATGAAGGAAACAATTAGCAATTTGCAAAACCATATCGTTAATTCTGCCCACACCACAGAAATTGTTACCGAAAACTCAATTCCGGAACTGAAAGATGTCAAAGTCAGTTCTGAACCAAGAAAGCTCTCCATGAAGCCGCTTCATTTCGAAGTTGCGGCCGGAGCGAACTGATGGAATGCAGGAGAAAAGGCGGTAGCAATAACATTAAGACTATGATCAACTTATAAAGCATCTTGAGCTGCGGTATGGACAGAACCACCTAGAACACGTTTACCATTTACAGCTCCTACAGGAGTTTGTAGCCGACATTGCTCGATTGGTTCGTCTGGCATATTCTGCTACACCGGAAAATGTAATGGAGTGGTTAGCAGATCAGGCATCCTTGGACGGACTTCGCGACCAAGAAACGAGGCAGGCCTTGACACTAGCTCGTCCCAAACATCTCGTGGATGCACTGGCAAGAGCTCTGGAGTTTGAGGCTGTAAAACAATCCTGCAAGGGCCAGAGCAAAGTTCAAACTATCGAGGAAGATGGACAGGTGCCTGTTGATATTGTGGCCACCATTAAAAAGGTGATAAAAGAAGTGTTGCCTGAGAGAAAACAAATAAGATGCTGGAATTGTGAGAAAATTGGGCATGTGCGTACCAAATGTCCAAGCATTCAAAGAAGCAACACCAAATCCGGAAAATTAGAGAGGTTCGATGAGAAGGGGCAATCGTCAGCCTGTATCCAGCAAGCCCCCGTAAAACTAAGATGCCCTGTCACGGAGATCATTCCCCGATGACTGCTCATATTGCCGACGAGCAGAAGTGAAGGAAGCAGCTGTTTGTAGAATTATAGCTGTAGACGACAACTGGGAGGACAATAAGATCAAGGAAGACCAAGAGACAGACCCAGATTTTGGTTTAGTCATCGGATGAAAGAAAAGTAATCAAATACCATCGTGGCAGGAGGTAGCAGGTTATTCCCAGCGGTCAAGTCCTACTGGGCCAAATGGAACACCTTCAACTTGGAAAACGGGATTCTGAAGCGGGTGTTGGAGTCTGAAGACGGTGGAAAAGAAAGGCGCCAGACAATGGTATCCAGGAATAGACGACGGGAGGTGCTCAAAAAAATCCATGATGGAGTCACTGGAGGACATCTGAGAGTAACAAAGACCATCCAGAAAGTAAGACAACGGTTTTACTGGGTTAATTGTCAAGCCGACGTCAAGGACTGGTGCAGAAAATGCTGTATGTGCTGCCAGTAACGGAACCTCGGATACGACCGAAAGCTCCAATGCGCCAGTATAACGTAGGTAGTCCCTTTGAGAGAATCGCTATCGACATCGCCGGCCCGTTTCCAGAGTTCGACCATGAGAACAAATACATCCTGGTAGCCATGGACTACTTCAGTAACTGGGAAGAAGCCTATGCCCTGCCCAACTAGGAAGCCTTTACCGTCGCTGACGTCCTAGTAAAGAAATTGATATGTCGATTCGGTGTCCCATTGGAGCTGCATTCGGACCAGGACATAAATTTCGAGTCCAACCTGTTCCAAGAAATATGTAAACTGTTGGACATTCGAAAGACCAGAACCACAGTCTTACATCCACAGTCCGATGGAATGGTGGAAAGAATGAATAAGACCATGAACCGTCACTTGTCCAAGGTAGTCTCTGACCATCGAAGAGACTGAGACTAGTATCTCCACCTGTTCCTGTTGGTCTATCGTTCGGCAGTGCACGAGTCAACCGGCCAAACCCCTGCCAGTATTATAATGGGCCGAGAGCTGCGGCTTCCTTGCGATCTGAAATTTGGGACGCCGCCAAAACAAGACACTGCGGGAAGAG